GCTTTGAAAATGTATAAAGATAAGGAGTGAAGGGACGTTGTAAAAAGCTCCTCACAGTGTCGAAAATCGGAAGATTTGATGACCGTAGCCGTCAGAGGTGGCAGGATGCACGGCCTAGGTCCAATAAGTACGACCATATCGTCAGACACTGTGGATAGAATATAACCCTTGTGAAAAATAGCAGTCGGTCGCCAAAGCAGTTAAAAGGCCGTAATCGCGCGCTTCAAATTGCGGTTTAAATTTCTCGTCCTCCGTGGGAAATACTCTTTTCGGGATTTCGGTCTACCTAGCACAGTGGCGGACTTTCGTTGTTAGCTATTGGATTCGCTTTTACAACATCTCCAGCCTCAGAAGCCACGGCAGGACAGTAGTCAAAACGGGCAACATCTCCGTGACCGCCTTCTGTCAACAATTCTCCGGGATTCCAACTATCTACAAACGGCTGAGTCGTTTCAATATCGATATTGAAACGACTGTATGAAAAGGATCCTTTTCATACAGTTAATCGCTTTATACATATTGCAAAGAGCTTTAATATCGTTTACCGTCACTTCGATCTATTATGGGAGCCAAAAATAAATGTATAGAGCAACATGTAAAAGGCTCGCCACGAGAAGGATCTGAACCCAAAATCCTGTGGTTCACGGGCATCGGGTGTCACCACTACACCACCAAGGTACACAGATGTCAATGATTTATTTCAAAATATAAGCCGTAGTCGCAATTTCGAGGGCAGAAATCGCAAGGTTGGTGCAAAGGAATCGTCCCCCGCTAAAAGGGCTAGAAGTCCTCCGAGTTTACTAGACTCGAATTACGAAAACCAAGATAGCATAATATACACGGAACGTTTCAAAACATTCTCCGTCATGCAAAAGGATATGGTAGGCCTCAAAACGGAGGCAGAGAAACTGAAGACACTTCTACATACTTTAACGTATGGCACGATGTCGGAGACGACGGAAAGCAGAGAAAATGCCAAAGCAAAGAAAACGGAGAAGGTTTCCATGCTCCAAACGAAAAATCCTTCAGACCTCGTCGAAGAGTCGAAAGTCAATGAAAACGAAGAGGACCCGGGAGTCGAACCCTGTACGTCGGGCCAACAGGCGGACAGCGTCGCCACTAGACTAGAAGACCACGATGAGGGGTCTAAACATTTTCCTTACTCAAGTAATATTAATGGTCAAGTAGTCATTGACGAGGAGCACCATAATCAAGATCCTACAGAAACATCTGTAACTGTCTGCGAGCCTGACATTCTGCGCCAAATTCCAGCCCATAAGGAAGCTTCGAAATTAATAACCCCCCTAACGATAGGCACACTTTCCGGACCAAAATTACAGGATGTGCTCAGTACAGCACCCGCTCAAAAAATGAACTACCTGGCCTCGCAAATCATCATGGCCATAGCACTGAGGCCCGTCCCGGAATGAGCCGGACTATTCAACAAATTCCTCGAGACGCCGTTGCGGTGGATAGCTCACAATGAATTATTTTTTTCCAGGGGCTCCCTGAATCAACCAATGGTAGTCCAAAGTGTAGAATAGATGATGACACCAAGGCCTTGTGGGAGTACTTAAAGGATATAATTTGTGAGAATGATCAATTTTTGATATTGAACCATTTCCGACTAAACAGTAAGGACAACTCCAATTCTCAAGGGAGGAAATCTAGGCCGTTAAAACTAATTTTTGAAGAGTAAACTCCGGAGAGATGTCCTGCTCGAGCGTAAGGCACGAGGAGTCCCCGGCCACAAGACGATTTT